TATCTTACGTTTGATCATTAAAATTATCTTACCTTTAAATAACTAGGTGGTATATGGGATTTCGGAATAAATTGCATTTATTTACATTTTGTCTCATATATATATATATATATATATATATATATATATATATATATATATATATATATGTGTGTGTGTGTGTGTGTGTGTGTGTGTGTGTGTGTGTGTGTGTTGTTTCCAGAGATTTAAGGTATTTGTTAGTGTAGTTAACCGTGCGAAATAAAATTTTGTTTGCGATTATTTATTAAAATTTGTCTTATGTTAATATTATTTTGCTGTTTGTGTTATATTGATCTATGTGCATATATATATATATATATATATATATAGATAGATAGATAGATAGATAGATGCACAAATTGCATTAATTTTAAGAATGAAACATAATCCAACACCTCAAAAATCCACCCTATGCAAAAACTAATGTTGTTTATGAATTTTCATGTCCTTTGTGACATTGTATCTACAACACTAACAATCAACTAACAACATTAAGTTCTTACATGCCCACATACACAACACACGCTCTGGCAAGTTGACTTCAACACATATCTGTTGATATATATCATCTATATATATATATATATATATATATATATATATATATATATATATATATATATATATATATATATATATATATATATATATATATATATATATATATATATATATATATATATATATATATATATACATAAAAGTCCGACATATTATATTATATATATATATATATTTTATGTTAACGTTCTTTCATAGAACGCTCCTTTGTGGCCGAGTCGGTTAAGGCACGTCAGCGTAAATGACGGTTCCGTATAGGATGCAGGTTCGAATCCTGTCAAAGGACAAATATTTTCTATGAAAATTTCTCGGACATTCAGGCCGGTAAATGTTATTTAATACTGTTTATTATAAACAGAGCATTGACTTAAATACTTATATCTATAAAAAAAAAAAATACGTTAAACATAAAAATGTCTTTAATAAATATATATATATATTTATTTATATGTATGCACGTATATATTGGTACTTGTTATTATAGATAGATATGTTTATATGTAGATATGTATGTATGTGTATATATATGTATGTTTGTGGATGTATATGTGTGTGTGTTGACACCTATTATATATGAGATTGTTTGTGTGTATGTGTAGGAAACTTTGGTATGTCATTACTGCCACGGTAGTTAGTCTATGTGTGTATATATGTTCATATATGTATTGGTGCATGTATTTATATTGGTGCATATATTTATATATGTGAGTATGTGTGCATAAAAATGTGTGTATATATGTGTGTATATATGTTTATATATATGTATGTGGATGTGTACTTGTTATCATAGATATGTATATGTGCGTATATGTTTATGTTTATATATTTATATGTATGTATTTATATGTGTGTATATGTATGTATATATATGTATATGTATGTAAGTATGTATATGTGTGTTAATTTGTGTTTGCTGCCGCGTGTATATATGTGTATATATGTGTATATGTATGACAGTACACTTATTTCTGTGGGTTTCTTTATCCTGTTTTTCTTCGCCTAATTTATAATGAAACTATTATCAACTTATATGATTAAAATATATTTTCATTGATATTTGTGGTTTTGGAATTTTCGTTTTAATATATTAAATAATATTATTTTTAACCATTTTCATCTTTGTATATTTGCTCGCTTAAGTTATATTTTAATAAGTGGTTAGCATTTATTTAATGATACTTTAAGTCCTAAATATTTATTAGTTGTGGTATCTGATTGTCTAGGTCATTGTCTGTGGATGTGTGTACATGTATTTATTGGTGTCTATGTGTATGTAGAGTGCATTCACATTTAACTGTGTGTGTGTGTAGGTGTTGGTTTCCCCGTTTCCTTTTTTCATAAAGGGCTGTGGAGATGTTCCTGTCTCGTCGCTTTTTTGTGTGTATATATATCTAAATATGTCTGGGTGCTTATGTATTATAATCTGATTGTGTTTTTGTTGTTTTGCACGTGAGTTTAAGACCACATTCACACACTTTAGAATAAAATATATATATACGTGTATTGTCAAATGACCGGATATTGTAGCGTCTTGTCGAACGTAATTTCAACGAAGAAATAAATTGAATAACATATGTATTTTTTCTTTTCTCAATAATTTTATAGTTTTTAAACTTAATAGTGATTAAATTTGTATTTTAAAATTGTCAGTTTTTAATTTTAATATTAAATTTTATCATATAATTTTATAATTATTGGTTAGTATAAATTCTTTTTAATATTACCCGTATTTAAAAGATATGAATAGCTATTATAACATGATTTCGTTGTCAAGCTTTTGAATTTTCCTATACTTGGATTTTGATTGGTTATTCTAGCTTTTGTAACAATGTTTCCCCCCCTAGTGAAGGATCGTTAATTAATTTGAAACTTTTAAAATCATTTATTTTATCTTCAACATCATCACTTGATAAGACACAGAGGGTGTTGAAACAAAATGGCTATTTTTGTAGTGATTTTATAACATATTTATGTTATAATTTTTTTTTTATAAATAATTATATATATATATATATATATATATATATATATATGGTAAATGGTGCCAAATCTTTCGGGTTTCGATACCAGCTTGAAGCAATCTGATGTCTAGTCACACTGATGAGCTGTGATATAGCGAAACAGTCTGTCTGTGGATGACTATTTATGATCTCTAAATAATTTGATTGAGTTCTTGGAGAGAAAGGGTGATTTTATGAACATTAGATTCTGGTACTAATATATATATATATATATATATATATATATATATATGTGTGTGTGTGTGTGTGTATATATATATATATGAGTGTGTGTGTGTGTGTGTGTGTGCGATATATATATATATATATATATATATAATTCAATCAGCCTTTTAAAGTATTTCTACATAAAATTCTTTATTTGTTCGATATCTGTCAGAATTTTGTGGTGAATGCGAAAGTTTGACGAAGATGTCATTTTCAATGACATGAAACATATGCCAACAACGTCGTAACTGTTCGTAAATTTTTGTTTAAAATATTTTTCTCTTGTCTAATCTAATATATAAAGTTCATCGGTTGTGTATGTCTGCTCGAAAGCCGGGAAATTAAATATCTGAACTTTGCTGTCTGTCTGTACAAATATCACGTTAAATCTCCAGTATATCCGGTATTTATTGGAACGTCCATACGAACGGAATGTGGCACAGGGCCAAATTTAAACTGTGAGATCTTTATGTAGATGAGACCCAAAACCAAAAGCATTTTCCAGTTTTGAAGATTAATCAAGCGTCAGAAATTAACTCTGTATTTCTCCCATGGGAGAGTCTAACGGGGGGGGGTTACAAACTATGGACTTCGTTTTATAAAGGGTACGTATTCCCCCTCACTGGGACTTGATTTCATAAATACTTCAAAGCTGAAAAGCCAAGAATCGACGAGAAATATTGCATAAGGCTGGATTTAACGTTTACATGGGAACAGACGCCAGTTCTCTCGGCATTTCGGCTTCGGGGAAGTAAGCAGAATCCCCCATCACGGGAGAGGTACTTATAAGTATGTCCACACGAAAAGTATATGGCACAAGGGCAAGTTTAAAGAGCAGTTTTTTTTTCCACCCAAATATGAAATTGCACGAGATAACTCGTCGTCACCACGTGATAACTTGTAGAAGGCGTCATAATAAAACCTGCCTAACCGCAAGTTCGTGGTTGGCAGTCGATGCGATACTGGGCTATGAAATCTATACACATCAATTACGACTGAGCAGTGCGTTCGGTCTTCACTAGGTGCTCTATACTTTCGTCCTTGTGCCATATCTAAGCTTCACTTAGTAAATCACTATGAAATATATAATCTTATTTGTCTATGGAAATGGGTTTTAATTAAAAATGTACATATGCGTTTGTTTTTTTATTGAAAATAAATTTACTCAAAAAATAAAGTCTGTTTTCATACGTAGAAAAACTCTGTAAAAGTTCAGAGATCAGCTTTAAACTGTATCGATATTTGAACGGGAATCTGCTTCTAAAATGCTAAAAAACAATATTTTTTTTTATTTTAAGTGGGATAAAAATTTGATAAACAATGATTTTTCAGTGTTTAACAGGTTGACCTATCAGAGGTCAATTACGAAATCTAAATTCAAACGCCAACTATATAACAACAAACTAAAGGAAAGTTTAAAAAAAACAATGCTAATCTCCAAAACGTATTTCCAATGAAAATTTTCCATTAGTTTTCAATTATTTACCTTTGGATTATTGTCTTCATCTTTGTTGTGTGAACATTATGGACTTGTGCCTTGAAGCTTTCTTTAGGTGCTTGCTAATCCGAAGATGCATTTAAGAGATGATAAATTCTACCCGGTATGTGCCAGCTAAGTAGTGTTCAAAAATTAATTAACTGTGTGATTTTTGCGTTTTTAATGATCATACTGGCGGCTATGAAATGTAATTTTAATTGAAATGTTTCACAATCCACTTTATGATCAACTTAAAATAGATGCAGATTTTACAGTGTAACATTCGAGTATAATAATTATTTATCTTAAATGAAGAATAAACAGATATATATTCTCACTTATGAAAATACTTTTTAATTAAAAATGTGTATATCCGTTTGCCATTTTTTCCGTTTTCGTATATAGAAAAAAACTCTGTAAAGTTTAGGGATCAACTTTACACTCTATTGGTATGAAATTTGAATTGAAATATTTCACAATCTACTTTATGGTCAACTTAAAATAGATGAAAATCGCTGCAGATTTTATAATGTAACTTTACTAAGAACCACCTGCAAAGCCGTAAAAAAGAAGCAATCAATCAATTCTCTAAGATCATTGATATTCAAAAAGATTATATTTTATTTTATTTTTTTCTGATCAGCAAAATATGCAGTGTAATTATACAGAATAAATTGTTTCTTTTCCTCTCTACATTTAATTGGCTTTCGGCCACGTTGAAACACCGATTCTCGTACTATCACCGAAGTTAAGCAACATCGAGCCTAGCCAGTAACTAGATGGGTGGCCACTTGGGAATACCAGGTGCTGTAATCTTCGATATGTAGGTGGTGCGATGGATAATGACTCGGAATTGTTAATCGGGAAGCCAATTCCCGTTGGGTTCGTTATATTCACTTACGCGCAAATAACTTTGGGAAAGCTATGAATTCTCCTCTTGTCCCCCAGCTACAGGTTTATTAGTAAGATTTGTGTCACCAAAACATTATTGTTATTATATAAATAAAATTTTGTACAAAATACTTAGATTTCGACAAAATAGAACTATAAATAAAAAATTCTGTACAAAATACTTAGATTAAGTATGGTGTTATTGATATGCTGGCTAAACCAAAAACATCTCACCAATTTACATAAATGTGCTGTTGGTATATGCCAGTTAAAATGTGTTTACACCCAAATTCTACTTGTTTTTGTTTGACTTATTAGCATGAGGAGTTATCATTATTTACATTATTTATATTCAATCTAATCTGCTTTGTTACTGTCATCACATTTCGATCGTTGCAACCTCCGGCTTTCTTCAGCTACTTGATTATCTAGGTAAACTTCAAGAAATTTCCAACAAGGCATTTTAGGGTGGTAGATTGTTATCGTTCCAAGATGGCCGACCTTGCCCAATGCCTAGCATCGCATACCTCTTATTTTTACAGGGACCACCCTCCCTCTTACTTTTTGTTCTGGGGGTGGCTCATTGGCTTTTCCTGGTTTCAGGTGCAGGTCTGGTGACGGTGAGGGGTCTCTTTTTATTGGATATACACCACTTGGCCTAATGTTCGTTTTGGCCACACCTAGTGCATTTTGGCTCGTCAAAATCTGTGGGTGGGAGGCATTCTCCACTTTGTTGGACAATCCACAGCCCTATAACATTCAGGATTACAAGTCCAGCAGACTAACCCTTGTCTGCCAGGTGTGGGCTTATAGAAGCCATGTCCCGATGACCATTCTCTCCTATTGGGTACTTTTTCCCACTCTTCCGGAACCCACTTCCTTTTCCCGTCCTCCGCTCTTATTCCACGTAAGAAGCTTCTTTCCCTTATTCTTCTTAGTCCCTGACGCTTCCCGACCTTGAACCAGCGTTCCACTATTCCTCATCTTTTCCCATACCTTCCAACTGTCTTTGACCAGATCGGTAGCCACTGACAACCTAAATTAGGGCCATCTTATTTACTTCGTGCCTGATACGTTCATTTTCCAGTGCCTCCACGAACAAATCCGACAACTAGACCTGAATGGCGGTATTCTCCTTTACTTCCTCAGGTAAACCCATGGTCGACAATTTCGTCGATCTTGCTCCCAATTTCCTTGTCATCTCACCCCTTGCTTGGATGAGGTTCATGAGGCTTCTCACGGCCTCTATTACCGTTACCTCATCTCTATATTCCTTTATCATCAGATTCTCTAAATCATCCCACATAAATCCAGGGTCCCTCGCTAGGTGATCCCCAATGAACTCGGAGACTGGCCTCTAACATGCATCATATGCTAACAGTGCAGTCTATACCTCTGACAGCTCGTAGGTGAGCTGTTTCTTCCCTATCGCAGTTAACTAGTTCTTTAATTTTTCTCGGGTCCACTTTATACACTGGTACCCTGGGTTCTCCCAACAGGTTTATCTGATACCTGAGGTTTGTTCGACTCATTTCCACCAATAGAGCGATCGGCCTCATCATCCGATCCATATTCGATCATTTTCTCTGTCTATCTAAACGTCACCCGGGATAAGAGAAACAATCCGACAAAATCCAGTTACAAAAAAAAAATATTCTATTCGCGAGGTGCAAGAATTATCACGAGAGAAACACAGAAAACCCAAAAGTGTCTTACCTGTCACTTGACTCGTCCTGTCGTCGTAATTTGATAAAAAAATGTTCGGGGAGTTTTAGTACCTTATTGTCAAAATGACTGAAGTCCATTGGTTCTACTCCTTCAACAAAATGACCTTCTTCTTTACTCTTCTCTACTTGATAACATTGTTTTATGTGCTTGGGTTGATATTCTAAGTTTCTGTTGGTTTCTCCTGGATTGTGACCTTAGCTAAGGCATTAATTATAATATGCAACATTTTATACTGGTCACTGATCCCCAATTATAATACGGTCGGCCTGGATCGATCCTGGGTCCTTCCCACGCTGGCCAGTACTGCCGCCAGCCAAATGATGCTTCTCTGCTGCTTGCTTCGTTCCTTCATCTGCATGCCCCACGTTGTGTTCTTTGATCACAGTGCATCGAAGACCGAATTTCGTCCGTACTTGAGCGCTGAATCGAGCTGCGGCGCAACCTGTGCTACAAAAGGACAAAGATCGTTCCGTTGGTGAAAATACAAATAACATGACATAATAACGAAGAAGGTCGCTGGGCTAATTTTCTATTGGCTTATATAGTCGTTTATACAATAAAATTAACCGTTCCCGTTAAACTCTCTATCGTGACACTTTGTCTTTTCATTCTAAAATTTAGAGTGGGTTAAAAACAACACAAGGTGACTGGTCGAGAATTCTTTTTGCAGCAGGTCACATGGGTTCATCAGCTCCTTCATCCGCTGCTGTCTCGTCTCTTTTCTCTCTCCAACTACTGAGTCGCCTAAGCGCTCTGTTTATATGAATTTCGCTCGACTCCTATCGCACCTTAAGATTTATTAATATTCAAATCAATTCATCATTTTCCCCAATTGTAGAGAAACGACACTGACCTTCAAACAAAGCGGTCAGTTATTCAAAACATTATATTCTTCGACAACAAACTTTGTTTATCATTCTTCCATATCCTTAGCGACAATCGGCCATAGACGTCCGTTTTTCTAAAACACTAATTTCCTGATAGCAAACTTTTGAGTTTAAAAATTATTTCTATGTCAAAGAAATTTTTTTTGTTGTTGTCGACCTTCTCATTGTTTACATTATTGCTTTACGATTTATAATAACTCAGTTCATTTCTCGCTCGACAATTACGTTTTACATTCCTCATTCATCAGGACATATTTTAAATTGTTTACATAATCGGCTTCGTGATTTATAGCAATTCAGTTCGTTTTTTGGTTGATAATTACGTTTCACATTCCTCATTCATCATTCTTCGGAGCATATTTCATATTGTTTACATCATCGGCTTTGCGGCTCATAATAATTCTCCTTGCCTGGTTATCAGAAGAAAAAAAAACATGTCTATTTTTCCTCCGCTTCATATTTCAATTCATTTTTTCACCTTAACGTTTTTTAAGATTTGTAACCATTCGAATTCTCCAATTCCTATCCGCAGTTTTCACATGAACCCTTTTAATCCTAACTTCATACTACCAGTGCACAATAGTGTCACAACGACATTAGCATTTCGATCACAGCAAATGGAAGAAAGCCATGTATAACGAATATAACGAAAAGATTCTGTAGCGCAGCAGGGAAAAGAAAAAGGATTTGTGCCTGGCAATGCCAGATATTATTGCTAGGTAAATGACTAGGAACTAACGATATTTATTGAGCTTCTTACGGCACTCAGTAAGGAGCAAACTCATTATAGCGGACAGCAGACACAGTTTACTGTACATTACGCCACAGCCAAGCAGCACTTTTAATAAATTTAGCTTGTTTTATTAGATCACACCTGTTGGGGACCCATTGAAGATTGAAGCCACTTCTATGTACCGTGTCTCTTCAGGCCATGCGCGATCCTCTACTTACTGTCTCTTGTTCCAATTTCTTCCTCTTGTCTTCAATATCTTCAATATATTGAATTGTTAGAACCCAGAATGTTTCGGTGTTGATAAACCGTAAAACACAAATCAATTCTGAGTCTAAGCATAATTATCCTTTTTATTTCCATTTTTCTTAAAAATAAAACATTTTCGTTCATTTCATGCTTCGTCCATTGCATTCTCAGCATCTTTCTGTAGAACCACATCTCTGTTAACTCCTTATGATCATCTGCGAGGAAATTGCCCAGCAATTATCTCATAGAAGAACTGATATTATATAGCAGTACATTTAACTTCACCTACCGCAAGGAAAGTTGGTTCTCTGTGTCGTGTCAGAAAGTTTTTTTCTCGTCTGAGTCTATCCTTCAAATCTAAAATCAGCCATCCGTCCTTGCATGGAATATTGCTGTCATATATGGACTGGTGCCTTCGTTGTAAGTCTCGAGGTCCTCGATAAAATCCATGCAATGTGATAAGTCCTGAACTGGCATCTAGTCTACAGTCGCTTTCACACAGACGTATCATGGCTTTCTTATAAGTATTTTCACGGCAACTGTTCCGATGAATTGCTTTCGCTGGTTTCCAGACTGCATGAATTTAAGCGAGCTACTAGGTTGGCATCTCGGTCCCACCTTTTCACTGTTTAAATGTAACCGTCTCTTCTACGGCTTCTTTTCTCACACTTCCCGTCTGTGGAATTCTCTTCCTCTTACTTGCTTCCCTGATAGCTATAATCTTCAAATATTCAAGTGTAATGTCAATCAATATCGTCTGACACCGTGATCTTGTTCGCCCGTCCTTCTCTTTATCCGCTCTCCAAACACGCCTCTTTACTCTTGCTCTCTGCCCTCTGTAACTCCTTGTGTGCTAGTGGCACACCCGCCTTGCTTGGGGTGAAATGATTAAAAAAGAAAAAAAAAAGAAAAAACAGTTCAACAGTATTTTATTTATTTATAATGAAATTTACCTCTTTCTTAATACATTACCTAGCTATTGGAAGGCATCATTTACTTTTTCAATGCACCTTCGGATTTTGGTGTCATACTTTCCATCATCTATCAAAACACATTCCAGATACTTAAACTTCTGTATTTGCTTGAGCTTTTCCTCTTGCTTACAATCATAGATTCTGTCATTTTACAATTAATGGTTAGTCCTTTCTTCCCGCTTTCCATTACTTCTTTGACTAGAAGATAGTTACACAACAGTAATTGTTTGTAGATGAGGAGATCTTTGACTCCTTCTTCACAAAATGTTTTAATCATTTCGCCCCAAGCAAGGCGATAATGCCTCTAAGACGCAAGAGATTACTGGTAGTAGAAGAGAATGAGAAAACCTTCAGG